TTTTTGATAAATTTTAAAAGAATTAAGATATAATAGATGGTGAGAATGTATGGGAAGACCAATAATTGTAGTGTTTCATTTTTTGATATAATAATGTCTAGATATGTAGCAAGTAAAATGAGAGGTTGAGAATCAGTGAGAGAAGAGAGTGTGATGACTTATACATATGGTTTAAATTACGTGTATAACATAATGTCAAGCATATATATGTATATATATATATATAGGCTATAAGCATATATATATATGGCTATATGTACGTACATATATATGTACAGATGGATAACTGTTGATAGTCCAATTTGAATAATTATGTAATGTAACAATTTCAAAAATATATTCAACATTATATTTCTGGATAAGATTATGCAAGTATATATTATGTGAATGACTTAATCATTACACACACACACACACACACATATATATATATATATATATATATACTCGTGTGGAGCTGTCTTGTCGGGTCTACAGAAAAACAAAACACGCAGAGATGAAATATTGAAATGAAATGAGACATACCCACATTGAAAATCAAAGTTTCAGGTTAGAATATTGGATTTATAAGCAAATAAAGTCGCGCGTGTGTATATATATATATATATATATATATATATACACACACACATATATGTATGATACTGTATTTACTGCCCACTGTCATTGATGTTCACACAAAAGAAACAAAATTTTGTTCTTATATTTCTTTGTATACGTCTGTCCTTTTAGTGTTGACTAATCCCTTAACCGCCCAAAAGTTTTCATTTGCCACTTTTCTTTGTTACATATTTACATACACATATATATATATATATATATACACACACACACCACACCCATATAAATGCTACGTGTATTTATCGGTCATGTCACGAAGACATTTATCCCAAAAATTGACAATAATTAATTTAATGATAAATTTGCTAAAATTTTAAATTAAATTAGCCAGATATATGTATATATACATTTATATATATCACGATCTTCATATAATAAATGTTCCTATATTTCGGCAAACACCAAACTCAATTATTGCCTCCGTGAATTAAATGCTCATCCCTCAATCTCTATATATTTAATACTATTACATTTCATTATTACAATATATATATATATATATATCTCTCTAATATGATCATCTAGAAGTGGAAAATGACCCAACAAAATAGGAAACTAAAATATTTTAATTGACCAAAAGGGCTAACCAGTCATTTCCTTATCAATAATTAAAGACCGTAGAAGAAAATTATTTAAATTAATTTTTAATTAAGAATAATCAAGCTTATAATTGTATTGATTAATTAATAATTAATTAATTAATTACTGCATGGAAGGGATGGGCTGTGTTCCCCTGTGAAAAAGGGAAGGGTTACGTGGCTATTTCATGTTGGAGACAGCTAATATGAATCCAGAAAGTGAGGAAGAGTTTTGAGTCTATCTATGTGTATATACATCTATATATATATATATATGTATATCTAGCTATAATGAGAAAATGATAGGGACCCAGAAAGGGATAAATCTATATATATGTTAAGCATGTTAATTAAGATTTTAAGTACATGCATAATCATAAACTATGCAATATATCTACACATAAAGTATATATATAATGATTTTACTATAAGCAAATAGGTAGAAGATTGACAATTTATATTTCTCAAAAAAAAAAAAAAAAAAAAAGAAAGGGAGACACGTACTCCTATTGATGCACAGGTCGGCACCCTTTTTGACTTTCAATTGATTTCTTCTCTCCCTCGTATTTATATATATATATATATATATACACACACACACACATATGTCCCCATACACCGACCCTACAATATTTCCTTCCTTCTCCTCCACAGAAAAACTCAACCCTTAATTCTCTCTGCGTTTTGGTTTCTACCCAGTTTCCAACTGTTTAATTTCAAAAGCGAAGTTTTCAACTTTCAGCCATGGGAAGATCACCTTGTTGTGACAAGAATGGGCTTAAGAAAGGACCATGGACGCCGGAGGAAGATCAGAAGTTGCTTGATTATATCAGCAAACATGGATACGGCAACTGGAGAACCCTCCCCCAAAATGCTGGTACATACATACATATATATATATATATATATACATATATTTCCATTCATTTCTTTTTGGCAGAAGAAGTAAACCATTTTTTTTTTTGTACAGGGTTGCAGAGGTGCGGGAAAAGTTGTCGTCTTCGATGGACTAATTACTTACGACCTGATATCAAGAGAGGCAAATTTTCTTTAGAAGAAGAAGAAGCAATTATTCAGTTGCATAAAATATTGGGTAACAAGTAAGTATAATTTAACTATACATACATATATATAGAGAGAGAGGGAGAGAGTTTTCATGTGTAAGTAATTGTCAGGAGAGGAAGTTTAATACGCTTTGTGTGTGTCTGTTTGTGTGCGGTGTATGTATAGGTGGTCTGCGATTGCTGCTCGATTGCCGGGGAGAACAGATAATGAAATCAAGAATTATTGGAACACCCACATCAGAAAGAAGCTTCTTCGGATGGGAATTGATCCAGTAACTCATAGTCCAAGACTGGATCTTCTCGACTTGTCTTCATTTCTAAGCTCGTGTCTGTACAATTCATCATCGTCCAATTACTCCAGATTACTCGATCTTCAACAATCCATGGTTAACCCGGAATTCCTAACCCTATCCACTTCACTTTACCCGGAAAATGGAGACCAAACCGAAAATAATAATAACCAAACAGCCAGTAGTTTTCTTCTCCAAAATTCTCAGCAAACCCAACTCTCCAATTCTCATTTTCCCCTTGATACCCAGTACCAAACACTTGGTCAACAAATCCCATGCTCTACCCCATTGGTTTTCTGTAACGAAGAACAGGTGATGAGCAATGCGGGACAACTCGGAAACTTTAACAGCGAATTGAGTTGCCGTCAATGGCAGACGGATCAAAATCTAGGGTTGTCTTCTGATTTGGGTAAATCAGAAGAAAGTTACGTGCCTTTGCCAGCAAGCTACGATGATCATAATAATTACTACAATTATGAGATGATGGATCCTTCGTTTTCCAACAGCAATAATCAAAATTTTAACTTTGGTTCTTCAAGTCCAACTCCACTGAATTCAAACTCGACTTATAATAACATCAACAGCAGCAGCACCATTACCGATCAAGATGAAAGAGACAGCTACTGTAGCAACTTTATCAACTTTGAGATCCCAGAAACTTTGAATGTTAATGAGTTCATGTAATTCATCATGGGGAGAGAAAGAGATCGATTGTCTCAAATTTTATTGGGTTCTTTTTTCTTTTTCTTTTTTTTTCTTTGTTGGGGGTGGGGATCTGGCGGTGGGTGTTGATAAATTTGTGAACTTGTTAATTAATTTCAAATAATTAAATTTGTTGCACACAGATCTTACTGAATCATTAATCTAAGATCTCAGCTAGCTTTGCTACCCTTAACCTTTTAATTAATTCTCCACCATTGATATGTCAATCTGATTGATTTAATTCTAATACTTTTTATTCTAATTAATTTAAAATAAACGTGTAATCCCATATTAGATTTGGGGTCAGATAATATATTTGATAAACACTAAGAATCGTACCTTATAAAATGCTAATCGACAAAAGAAAACACATATCGGCGACTTACATATATTAATTGTAAATGCATGCATGACACGTACTTGATTAGAAAATCATACATAATATTGAATATTTTGCCGTATAAGCTGTAAAATTATATGTTCTTTTACGATTAAAATATTTACATATATGCAATATATAAATCATGTATCGTACATAAAGACTTATATGCGTGTCCTAGCAATGGTCACAAGACGTATGGCACTAATGTTTAAATAAAGTCAACAACTTTTTACCTTTCCCAAAAGGGATACCATTTCTCTGAGGGTAGGAGGAAATACAAAATTCAAGTAAAAAGTTAAAATTTTTATTAATTAAAAACGAAATCCCAGAATCTAGAAGCTCCATACTGGAAAACCCAGAAATTTAAAATTAAAAATATTAATTAAATATCAAATTTTCAAAAATTTATTTAACCCTAACAGGACTTCGGTTCTTCAAGATCCCGACAGAAGGTCAAATTGCCGGTGATATTTCCGGCCAGGTCACCCGGAGGATCTTTAAGTGCCACGCGTCCCCTGTAGTCTTGCATGGAGATTGTGTTTTAATGAGGAGGACACGTGTCGATGATCTAATAGTTATGATTCACCGGGGCCCACGTCTAAAGATTACTTTATTGAAAAATCACGGCGTGGCTCTTGTGCTCCCTCTTTTTTTTTTTTTTTTTTAAAAAAAAATTAGTATTTCGTCACATTAAATTCGTTCTCCGGCGTCAAAGTGAAAACCGATACGACGTCGGTTACTTGCGCGAATCGTGTTGGGGTGGGACGCGTGGACTCAATAATACAGAGGGTGGGTCCCGGGTGACCGGTTGCTCCGGTAACTTCTTATCCAGTTTGTTGCACTGCGTGCCGGTCTGCCTTGTGACATACTTATTCAACGGGGTATGTGGCTTAATCCGATTCATTAATCGTGATTTTGGTTAATCATTGCTAGAAAAGTAAGTATGACTGTTAAGTAAGGAAAAGGAGATGATGCGATACACTTGACAGCCGCTCAAGCAGCACTCTGTTTTTTTTATTTATTTTTTTATAATATATAGATACTACAGGTGTCTCTATATATATATATATATGTGTGTGTGTGTATATATATATATATATATATGATTGGGATTGTTCAATTTTATCAGTTTTTAGTGGCATTATTTTTGGTTTTCTAGGGTTTAGATTCTAAGATTTTTAAATCTAATCTATCAAATAACTATTTGGTCTTTGTTTTTTCTTTTAAGAATTAAAATCTTAATTAAATTTTTAAACCGTTATAGTTCTCGTAACGTAATAAATTTATTAAAACTCAGTCTAATTCAATCATTATAGTATAATTAATACATGAATAAATTAAGTTATTTATTTTATTAAATTAAGTACTATACATTAGTTTAAAATATGTTCATAAAATAACGAATTTTATATTTTTAATAAAATTACTATATAATAATTTTGTAAAATTATAATAATTAATTACCATATATATTAATTTATAACATACAATAATTTTAATTTTAACTTTAAAAAAATATACGTCGTATTTATTTTAGATTAATTTAAATCATATCAATGTAAATTTTACTATGTAAGAGAGATCAATTAATATGTTTAATATGTATATATACAAAGTAGCTATTTCTTACATCAACATTATTTCTATATTGTTCTTTGAATTTTTAAAGAGCTTCATCCATACATTTTCTCTTTGGGTGCAACTAAATTTCAAATGTTGCTTAAGACACATATATAAGGGAGACAATCTTGTACAACGTGACTCGTCTTCATTGAATTCTTGGAGTTAAGAAAACTGGTTGTCTCGGTTGATATGAAAGTTGGACAATTCACAACAGTTTGGTTTTCATTCCTAGTAATTTTATTAGTGGTCGTGATACATTTATAGAACTTTACAGCTCTTTACAGGTAAACAAGGATGAACACAAGAAAAACAACAAACTTTCACTGTTAAATTAACGCGGAAGAAACCAGAAAATATATGCAGCTTTAACGATTTTCAACGAGGGACAATTCTGTACTATCAGAAAGACGATCGCATTCCAGTAGTCGGCCATGTGTCTTTGTCTGGGAGCTATGGGATGAGTTGGCATGCTGACTGGAACTTTTCGCTTATTTGGATAAATTGACACACTTATCTTCTTGAGTCGATTGTTGCCGGTTGTTCTTTCACACTTGTTCACATTTTTTCTTCATTATTTTCAACAAGAATCGAACTTTCTTAAATTTAAATAATATTATAATCAAATAACTCCAAATTATTTGATTGGTGTATACTCAGATATTAGGGAGTGAAAGATAATATAATTTCTTTTTCATAAAATAATTATTTCATACATCAAACATATAAATAATTTTCAATTCTTAGTGCATGCAAGCTCTACATCACGTATACGTCATTTAATTTTCAATTGTCAAATAATAAATATAAATAATAATAAAGTTAAAACGATAATGAGATAATTCGTACGGTCAGATCATGTAAAGAAATATTTAGTGGTATAAATTAATCAGACTGATCGCTTTCTCCATCAACCGACCAAAGAAAAAGTGAACTTCAACCCTTTGAATAAGTAAAACTCTAAAGTGTATTTATGCGTATATATATATATATATATATATGTACAGTGTGTATATACATGTATGTATTTGTGTGTATATATATATATATATAAACTGCGATTTCTTTTGGAGAGTGTGGGGGTTAAAGAGTAGGCAAGAGAAAATGGTGTCACCTTAATTAAAGGTAAATTTTGTTTTCACATTTGTTCATAAATCGGCAACAAATCTGCCCCATGTTATTTAAAAGGTCAAAATGACAGGCTAAAAAAGTACTGTGTACATACATATACGCTATATACACGTATGTATTTGTGTATATATATATTTATATATATACACACGTGTATATTCTTGTATTGGATGGCTCTGTCTTTTTAACACATTATAATTATTCATATAAAGAAATTTAATGGTAATAAAATATTTTTTTTGGTCTAATAACATAATATATTTGTTAAGATTTACTTTAACTAACAAATTAGTAATTAAGTCCCCGGTGACTGCTCTCATTAAAAAATTTAATTATAAAAAAATATTTTTTTTTAAAATAAAAAAACGTAATAATTCCGTTAAGAATTAAAATTAAATAACTATAAATATTGTGTGTAAATTCATTAGTCCTAAGTATGGATTCAGCCCAGGCAGGCCCAAATTGGGGCCTATCTTTAACACTAAAGTTTAATATATCCTCTAAGTTGCTACTTTACTTTATTTATTTATTGTAATACATATATTTCTTATCTTAGAACAGAAAATTATTATACAAGTATTTCAGTAAATTTTTAATTTAATATTTTAATTTTAATAAAGGGTTATTTTTAATTCTTTTATATATATATATATATTTTGCATACAATTTTTAAATATAAATATTTTTCTTTCTTAAATGGTACAATTTCAATTTTTGAATAAACTTATTTAATATTACACTTCATTTCAATTTTGAGAAAATTGGGCAATGGTTTAATTTGATATCTATCACTCGTAATCTATTGATTTAATGATATTGCTAATCAATGTAATTTATTATTTTATTACATTGTAATAAGATAAATGAACTTTAATACGGTCAACTTAATTAAAAAATTTAATCAAGAATTAGGTCAAATTAGAATCTAAAATGACCAGTCAAAGTATTTCATTTATTACTTCTAAATTTAATACGTAATAATTAAAATTAAATTATTTTATCAAAGAACTAATTATTAGAGTTATCTACAATATTTAATTTAAATGCTCATCACAACATATTTTAATTGATCTTCCAAAATAAACATCATTTAAGCATTGTTATAGAGTATAATTAGAAGGTTTTTTTTTTTAAAAAAAATAATTAATAAATTGATACATTCATTAATTAATTGATTCACACGTAATAATTATAATATAATTTTTAAACGATAATACATATAAAAAAAAACATAATTAAACTTAAATTTTTGTAAAGAAAGAAATATATTAATTATTTAATTAAATAATGAGTCCAATTAAACACTACATAATTTGGTACCATGCTCTAGGTAGGCAATTAAGGGGATTAATCCTCTACCATTTTGGTAACTTGAATGGGTAATTAATTATGATTAAAATCAAATTTAAAGTTTTAATATTTTTTTTTTTATAAATACTTAAAATAGCAATTTACACTAGTGTTTATGATAAATATTAAGACTTGATCTTAATCAGAATTAATTAGTAAGTAATTTATCATTGATGTAATTTAAACAATAAAGCTTAGGAAACTTGATACCAATTGAAAAGGTAAGGGAAAGAAATCCTCCAAAAGTCAAATTAAAATTGTAGAGTTGCTTCATGCCAACAAAACATATATGCAATGCCCAGAAAAACCCAGATCAAAATAAGTGAAAATTCATAAACCCTCCACCATCTTCTTCAACTCATCCTCCTTTTCAGTCCGCCGCCATCTTCCTCTTCGTTGATGATCCAGAGAGGAATGACTTCCTCTGCCATTGCTGGATTCGTGTGATTCTTCCCCAACTATTCCGTGTTCGTAAGCAAGCCTGGGATCTATGGGGAGGACCTGTTACAGGGGAGGATGCTTCTCTCGCCAAGCAGCTGGTGAAGATGATTACGACTGGGTCAATAAGAATGAGTCTTTTTTTTTTTTTTAATTTTAATTTATAAATCGGATCATATTTAAATTTTTTTATATCTCGTCGAATGATATTTAAATTAATTAAAATATTATGTGTTAATAAATTTATATGTGATATTTAAATTAACAATAATAATAAAAAGAATTAATTTTTTTTTTTAATGAAGTTTAAAAATTTTTAGAATAGTTGGAGAAAATGGGTTACGTGTATTTCTTTGTAATAATTTTTTTTATTTAATTTTAAAATTTATGATATTATGTCATATATTATATGATTTTAAATTAA